GTATTGATTTATGATTGTAATGATACATACGAGAGGTGAAATTAACTTTGAATAAAATTTGACAATTATTTAATCTCTCAAGCTATTTTCACTCAACGAAACATTTTTTGTATGTATTTAGAAACGTCTGACTTGACTGGAGAACAATTTATAGACTGATCATATAGATAATAAACGTGTCTGAAATCTTGTAGAGTTTTATTTTTGATTTCTGATCAGTTTTTGTCTTCACGATCTGCGTGTATTTATAGCAGATTTATTAATACGTTTTATTGCGTTCTAGATTTATAAAACTAAAAACTTAAACGCCCCTTTGAATCAACATCGGCTATACTTAACATCGTAGGAATCTTTCAAGACGATCATGCTTTTGAGAAATCTATATTTTCAGCCGGATGAAAGATTATTTTTATCATCACCTCGTTCGTTTCATCGGTTCAAGCTCATTTCGTAAAGCTAAACAAATTTGCTAACGGGAATTAGTAACCATTAGCAACAATAAATCATAGGATTAATCGTTAATTTTTGCCACCTTTCAAACGTTTTATTGGTCGCAGTATGACGATCAAGTCCCGATTTGTCAACGGGTTCTGGTTCGACGCGTATCGAACCCCCCTTACCCAGTGACGATTTCACAAGAGTCACCGATTAGATAACCAGTTTTACCGGCTTATAAACAATCCGTATGAGCAACATCGCTAATCGAGTATACGCGACACCTGCTTCAATCGGTCGGCAAACAACGACGAAAAGAAAGTATTTAACATGTCAATATTTCTTTTTCATTCTGCTTAACAATACCAAGAATATATTAACTAGTATCTGTATTAATTTATAATCATCTTTTAATTCAGGTGGTTTTGGATATGAAATTAGTTCGCCGAACATATTTCCTCATCTTGACCGATGACCACCTGGAAATTCAATTATTCCTCGAATCTATTTAATGAAATTACACCCACGCGTGAAAGTTTTTCGTTTTCCATCTCTTCTGTTCAGAAAATTGCTATGAAAACGACCGCGACTGATTCACGTGGAAGCCTTGTCAGCTTAATTCGCTGGCAAGGTGACAATTAGAGTGCGCTGATTCGACAAGCGTAAGCAATTAAGCATGGACATTTTTCGACCAAGTAGAATATCCCCGGAAGTGTCAGACGCCGGGTGGAACAAGCGCTAATAGGTTCCTTCGGGCTGTCGCGCGCGTTGATAATGCGACAGACTTGTCCAGAGGTAAACTACGACGCCGCTCGAGAAAGTGACGGTAATTTACATAAACTGAACTGGTCGTTTTAATTTCATTGCTCGCGATCGTTTCACCGTCGCGCCGTGTCTTAGCCGATATGAAAATTGAACGCAGCGAAAACTTAATACTGATTCAAGTCGGCCCTGCCGCCACCGCCGCCGTTCAATGAATTATTCAAGATATTTGCCATGATAATAATAGAGATATCGCCGATCTAGATGTTTATTGCCGTAATTAATGTTTTGCAAATGTTCAGTTTCTCTTCTCGATTGGTCGACACTGGCACGCTTTCATTGTTTCCAAATAACAAGTTCGCAATTTTTTGCGGGAATTATACATGGATCTAGGGTAAAAATGAGGTAGCGTTGAGCAACCGGTCTCATAACTATTTTTACAAATCAATCGAAGTTTTTATATACAGTAGAACCTCCATTATATGAATTAATTGGATATATGTAACCCTATTACGTATAAACATTTAGTGTATTTATACTTTATACAGAGCATTGTAATATAGTTCATATAATGCAATGTTCAGGTTGCAGGTGTTCATGTAATAGAATGTTCACATAATGTTGCATATAACACATAGGTTCTACTGTACTTAATGAATAATTAGTCTAAAACGGAACTAGAAGACTAAATACGAATTGATTTGAAATCCTGTAGGCGGTTAGTCGATTCCTGGTGACCGAAAGTTCGATGCCGTGATTAACCAATGTCCTCGAAAGATATCACGACAAGACCTGTTGAAGTCAGGGGGTCGCCACTTCGAGTGCTACAAATCGCTCGTTAGTCACCATGATTACCGTTTTCCTTCGGCAGTATACGCCACGTCTTTGGCGATAAATCTCTCTCTCTCGCGTTTGTCGCCGAGTACGGTCAGGTAAAATCGAATGGCAATCCGACTTTTATTGCGCTCACGATTCTAACAAATTCTGTCAAGCTCTTCTATCGTATTATTTATAGTATTATTAACGAGACTTTCTCTTATTATAATTTTTCGTTTTCCTCTGGTTTCACGTAAACGCCAATTGAGTTCGTGTAATTTTAAAAAAATTTAATTGTAAAAAAAAGAAATTTTACCAAAATGACAAATGATAGGAAAGTCACGTGACTACCCTAATCCCTCAATGCTGCATATCATTACATAAATTCCCTCAAGTTTATTTTCATAATAAATATATGAATCTGAATACATACATTTTCACCACACTTCTTATTGAAAAATTACAAATTAATGTTTGAAACAATGTGGTACCGATTATCGCTCATTATCTTGGAAAACGAAAAATATAGTCAAACTGTAATGATCTTCATGCAATTTCATAGTCTGGGCGGCAATTTCCAACAGGCTAGGAAGTGTACGTCGTCGTCTAGAGTACCCAGAGCATATTCCGTTGGCGAGTCAATATCTGATAGCAATCAGTGCACGGTCATATTCGGTTCTTCGAACCGCAAATTCTCGACGCCAGAAAGCGAATTTCGTAGCTGGTCCGTTCCTCAATTTTCTAGACTCCTTTCACGTCATATTTCCCGTCTTTGAAAACGTACATACATTCATACATAATATACGTCTCGTCGTGGCGCATATATTTTTATCGATAAAATTCGGTTATCAACGAATGAAAAATAGGGAAAGTCTGATATTGACGAAGAAAAATTGTTTGCAATTTTTTGGCTGCATACTCTTTCTTGCCATAATCGAGGGAAATTTAAAATATTTTTTGACTGTCGAACGGATGAACTATTTCCGCGAATGTTCACTTCAGTTCTTCGTGTCAACTCAAATCAACTGGAAGTTTTACCTAACAAGAAATGTGATTTGACTGGATACAAATGAGAAAACGCGAAGGAAATCGATGAGGAAAGTACAGATTGGAAGTGAGTGGAACTGCGACGGAAATAATGCGATCTGGTTCGCGATTTTCTGCATTTGTTATGGATCCAAACGTGTCTCGAGGAGCAACGCTGGATCACGTGCGTAAATTCCTTCAAATTGTACTTCAATCGATTATTAAGAATCACGAAGATCTGTCTGACAAGAAAGCAAGATGAAGTTATAATAAGTTTAGGAAGATGAAGATTTATTGAAAAAATAATTAGACGGAAGTTCGAAAATTGTGACAGGCAAAAGAAAATTGAAGAAACTTTGAAGGAGAAATCGGCTTCATGGTATTAGCAGCCGATCGTTCGAGTAATGTAATGATATTTAAAAAAAATGTGAAAACATCCGCTTGAAGATGGGAGGGAAAGTTCTTTCATCAGGAATTATTATCGATTATGAATAACCGAAAACACGTCGGATATGAAATTTTTAATCAATTGATTGAGAGAAATCGAACAAAAATGAACAAACCGATGAACACTTGGAAGATCGATATAGATTAATATAATTACCAAGAAAGTATTTTATGATAACATGTTGAAAATCGATTTTTGAAACTCGTCTCGGTGTTTCACTGGTGAGATTCGAGGAACTGCAACGTAGGATTATATCAGAAACTGCAACAAGTGGCTCGTTCTTTAACGACAGAATCTCGAGTTTTTTTTAAATGATATTCTTCCGGTAAGAATACGATAATACATTCTCTTCTCATTTCGATCTTCCTCTAGTCAGATTAACAAATTTTGTTCAATCATTCTCTTCCATAAATCTTCGTGACTCAAACTTTCTCATAGTGAAAATGGAAGAGAAATACTATTACAAATATGATTAGCATTATTCTGTCTCCGATCGTCTATCCAGAGGCTAATTGCGAATTGAAGAATTAATTGTTGCGAGTGAATGTCGTGAGTTAAGTATTCCTGGAAGGAGCAATTCTTGTCTCTCGTTGAGAAAGTTGAAAAAAGAAAAACGGCAAAGCTGGAAGGGAAAAGGCGAACGTCGGAAAAACTACGTAAGATTTATCGGAAGATGTCGACCGAGGAAGGTCGATCTTCCAATCCTGCTGGTTCTGGAGTTATTGACGAAACTGGACACGGGGGAAGCAGAAGGATGTCGCACTTCAAGGAATACAAGTTCTTCCGCAGCTTCAGTGCAAAGGTGGAGAACTGGCCGATGCGGAAAGCTGAAGCTCTCTGGCGTCGAATGAGAGAGAGGAAAATCGCAGGTGAGACTGCACTTTCTGCGAATATAATGTATTACTTTCAATGTTAATCGCATCGACGAACGAATTAATTGATGAATTAAAAAAACAACAATTATCTAAAATGTTTCTCGAAATTGACTTGAAAAATCAAATCATCTTAACAATAAGAATTCACTTGTTTAATACAATATACATATATTCTACTTTATTCATATAATAGATTAAAAAGTACAGTATAGGAGCAAAAAAAAATTGCAATTAACGAATTGATCGATTAAAAATATAAAGTAAATAAGAATAAGAATCTAACTTACGGACTGCAGTATGAAATCATTTGTCATTCTGTGACATCAAGTAATTGTTTATTCAACAAATTAGAAATTCATTTATCAGCGAACACGTCTGTTGAATCTCGTCCGATCTCGTCTGTGCAAACATGCAATTATGGAATTAAAAGAATCGAGCCTCTCGCAATATCTTTTTAATACGACTTTTACCAACTTTTAATCCGCGTTTTGCCCCTGCTTAATTGCGTTTTAATTGCGGCGGAGTCGTCGGACCAACTCGGCACACGTAATTAGTCGTCTCGTTTCGTATCGTCACGCACGTGCGAAAATCGATCGCGGAAGTTGGTCGTTTCATCTGATCGTTACAATTTAACGCGATTCACGACCAAGAGGAAAAAGAAAATTACACGCGGTTCATCGCTTTTTTGCGCCCCTTAATTATTATCCTGAATAATTGCCGGTGTTAATTATCGCGCTCGACAGAGCAGCGTGTCGGTGCATTTCGAACCTGGATTTACTCGCTGACGACGATACAATTCGTAAACGAGAACTCAATGAATGTTTCTGCGGTACTGCTTCGTCTTATGCAAATTCCTGTAGTCGTCAGTACCCGCGATTTTTTTTCACACCGATGATCAATTACAAATTTGAATTGCGTAGAACTTTTCATCGTACGTTCAAATATTCCTTTTGCTAATTAATCTGATATATTTGAATATCGGTGAACTACATTAATTTATTGAGAGTATAAAAATTGAGTATAAAAGCAGTAAAGTTAATTATGGATTTAGCTTGCTAAGGAGGAAATGATTTCCGTGATCTAGAACGGAACATATTTCAAAGCCGCGTGAATGCAAACGAGTCCTTGCCTTATACTTTACTCGTAGGAAGTCATCATTATGAGAAGGTGTAGCTGTCGGTCATGGAATCTTCAAGTCCAGCGGGACTCTCTAAATAAGTTTTTATCTTTTGAATAATTTATTTCGCATTATAAAACAACTGCTGGATGTATTTTTCTATTAAAAGCGATTTTTTTTTTTCAAAATTTTTAGCTCAAAGTTCATTTCCGCTGTCCTTTATATTTAATAGTGAAGATTTCGTCAAATGATTTTATTTTAGGGAAGTAAGTGTATTAGTGCAAATATTTCCATCATTATTAAGGATGCGATGTGTCTGTCGCGAGTCAAATACAATTGTCCTAGTTTGAAATTAGTTTGGCTTAATAGCTAACGCTATTGCGAGGCCAACACGTCTGTCCTAGTTTGAAGTCGATTCCTTGGTAATCTCGGTTAACTTCTCATTCGATCGCGTGATAAAATCCACCAACTTGCTGGTGCTACTAATCCCCAATATAATTACCCTTCATTGCTCCACAGATCTAAATCTATTGCCTGTAATTTTTGTTAACTAAATGGATGATCTTTTTCTATACAGTATACACCTATCTTCTATTTTATAATTTTTATCAGAACCCATAGTTCTCTTTATTAAATAAGCGCAGACACTTTCTAGCTTTCCTGCAACAATCGTAAACGTAAAATACCAATAAATAATAATTGTAATTATTCCGTTCGCACAATGAAAGATGTAATTCAGATTTTAAAATTTACCAAAGATCACGTACTGTGATTATATTTTTCTTGAAATCTATGGATTTCACAGAATTTATACGTACGTAGTTGGAAAAGCAAAATCATATAGAAGCGACAGGCTCAAACGATCAAATCATAGGCCGCGTCACATAAAATCGCGGGATTATATCATATCAGGATAAAGACGATACTCTCAGTGCCACTGATGACCGATAAGATCTTATCTGCTAAGCTTCCGCCATTGTTAGAACGGAATAACAGCAATTACGCTAGTGCTGGTGTTATCCCGGATTATATCGCAGTCACGAAGCGCACATAACTCGCAATCATACGTACACATATGTACAAATATACGTTTGAGAATCTTGTGGTCTTGTCCAAATTTTGAACAATTAACGAGATCAGGTTTTCAAAAGTTCTAAGAAATAATCAAGATTTGGTATAAAGAGTATAAATTGAAATATACAGAAAAGATCTGATAAATTTCAGAATCATCAATTATCATGAAAGTATTTGCGAAAATAAAGTCAAGGGATTTAACGCATGCTCTTATAACAGCAATACTGTTCAAAATAAAACAGAGCTCTAATAGATCAAAGTCTAAACTTTTCAATGACATCAAAATAAAAATCAAGTTGGCTTCTACTAATTTTTTACTTCAGAATGTATCTTGGAATTCTTGAAGTTGCACGTTTTTTATCTTTTAAATCTACCCGTCCGATTGATAAAATTGCTTCACGTGTTCGTCTGTGAATCTTCAGAGAAAATCGAGTTTCCCGCCTGCTTGACAGTTTATGTTGTCTGAAGAAAAGACGCGTTTCTTGTACGGCGCCATAGACTCCTGACACTTCCGATATATGAAAATACTTTCGAAGAGCATACCTTTGCATGTCTCTTGCTGAATAATTCACCTCAGAAGGAGAAGCTGTAAAATGTTTTGATTACATCTACGTATTAGTTATTTTCATATTAACATTTTATTTATTTAAATGTTATCAATTGTAATAATTATGCGTGATGCAGTACGAATTTTTACAAACATTATGCAAAAGTTGCTGTTTTTTAAATAAAGTAGTGAACTTTTCTAATGATGTGTAAAGAATTTTACAGTCATGATTATTAGAAACGTAAGGGGAATTACAAGGTTTCATTGAATCATAGAATCAGACAGGCGATACGGTTGCGTATGCGATTTTGTGTAAATTCTGTAAAGCTAAAACTGCTCATAAAATCCACTGATAATTGCACTTTTGGATTCGATTCACTTACAGTAGTATAAGATATATGTATAGGTCAGCTCTGTTATACCACTGCTGACAAGAATCTGCTCGGCGTTCTTGCTCTCTCGCGCAACGCTCGATTTAATTACTGTTTGACAATATTCGACGCTTCGCTGACTGTTCGAACGGCCCGACGCGGGCGGGACGCTGCGCTTCAGCGACAACCTTTATCCGTATCATTTGATTGGAAAGTATCGAACATTACCGCGCGCCGCGCCGCATTGCTTTGAAATTTCGATTCCTCTATTCAGATTTAATTAAACAAAAAAGACAGGTCGCGCACACCACAATTTTCTCTAAATATAATTAATAAAAATATGCACCTACATTCAAGCATGAAAATATTGTAATATTAATTCAAGTTTAATTGTTTACTTTCTCTTTACATTAATTTGCTTCATTGCATCGATTTTATATGGAAATATTAATTTTAGAAAGTGAGAGAGCAGCCTAATTAGTCAGAACTTCAAACGCAACATGCTTTTAATTCCTCGCAATTCGTCTATACTTTCAGTAATCCCAAGAGCATATGAATGTACCTCAATAAGACCAATTCAAACTCATTTGTACGCTTAATTAATTGGAGTTCGGCTTACTCTAAATATAACCAAATACACATCGCTTTTAGCAGAATACGGCCAGCAGTGCGTATGTGGGGCAAAATCCAATGAGTTAGGTGTACATATCGCAACGACGGTCGAGAATCAGTCGGCCGTACCATTCAGCGATGGCCTTCACGGTGCGCCGATCACGAACGCTTCCAGCAGCCCCTATTGGGTTCAGCTAACTTGGCTGTGGAAGTTACGAAAGTGATCGGTCGCTACGTTCGCGTTTCATTGTTTCTCGAATACGCGCATACTTTTCATCGCGACAACCCACAATTATTACTGCTCCGGGCAGATTTAAATCCGCCGTTTTGATTTCGCTTAACGTTGCACCGCGAAACAGCGAGAGCGACGGACAATTGCGCATTCGCTAGACTTTCGCCGCCTCGACAAATGCCGTCCGTTATCTATGGCACAATGACCGGGGAAACTTTACCCCGTTCGGTTCGCTAAGATGATTCGTCTCCGCGATAAACGTAAGCGAACAATTAAGGATACGCAATTACCGTGGCTGTCTCATATGGAAGCGGAGCGCCAGGCTCAACGTATAATAACATGTCTAATGATAGACAAACTGCGGCACAATTACCACGATGAATCTCAATAGCCTTTTATCGCTGGGTTTACGTGGGCATCGGTGTCATTACCTCCGTTTTTTTTACTGTTTCTGGCTTCCTTTCCTTTTTCACTCTTCTTTTGGCTCATCGTGCGGGTAATTGGATGTAGATATGATAACAATCTTAAATATGCTGAATAAACTGCGGATTTTATGCATTTATAAGGAAATTCAATGTATGGAAAGCATGTATAAACACTGGATGCAATGTACAGAAATATGCAGAAAATATGTATCACAATGTTTAACACTAAAACTATCGGCGATTGACGTATATCTATTTCTACCGGACAGGTCCCAATGACTTCTTTTTCAAATTAATAAGT